CCAGCCTCTTTTGACTTAAACATTAAGACTAAGTCGCCGATTTCATAACTTTCTATGGGATACTTATTATCGTGGTAGGTCTTTTGTTTTTCTTTTTCTTTTTTAGTTCTGTCTTTCACTTGTTGGCGTGCCTCGGTTAAATCTCCTAATAGTACTTCAACCCTTCTTAGAATATTATTTTGTAGGTCTTTCTCAGTGACGGGTTCAGTGGGATAAGTAGGCAATGTAGTCTCTATGGGCAATATGGTATCTCTCCCATACGCCAAGAAAAAGGGTTCATATCGAGTTGTGTTATGTCAGGTGGTCCGATATGCAAAAAGGGCGGCTGGAATATAATCGTCCCACTCGTTCCCGAATTAGTTTAAACATTTAGCAAGGACCTCACAAAGGATGCGGTTGAATCTTTCTACCAACCCGTTAGTCTAAGGGTGGTAGGTAGTAGATAAACGATGTTTAATTCCCATTCGGTAGCAAAGAGCATCCACGACCTTATTACAGAAGTGAGAGCCTTAGTCAGAAAGTAGCTCTTTTGGACTTCCATGCCAGCATATGATATCGTCGAAAATGAAGTCGGCTACTGATAGGGCATCAGCTTTCTGGAGACTACGGGCTTCTGGCCATTTTGTTAAGTATTCAGTGGCCACAACTATATATTATTTTCCTTTGGTGGTTATCGGCAAAAGATCTACGATATCAATCCCAACTCGGTCGAAAGGTTGGCCTATTCGAATTGGATGTAATGGCTCCTGGGTTTTGGGTTGTCCACGTCTTTGACAAGCGTCACAAAACTTTACATAGATTTTTATGTCCTCACCTATCTGTGGCCAAAAGTATCGGATCGAAATTCTTTAGTATGTAGAAGTGGCATTAAAATGCCCAGCCAAGGGATCCGAATGCATGGTAAATAAAATAGCTTCTTTTTCACTGATTTTTATAACTCTTTGGGGTCTCATTGGGTTCCGCAAGTTTTTCTTATAAAGTAGTCCTTCTCGAACCAAATAATGTCGGGTTCGATATTTAAGATCTTTAACCATCTTTTCGTTATAATTCAAGGGTACCGTGGTATCACTAAGATACCTTAAATATAAATAATACGTATCCAAATCCATTTATTCTAAAATATCTATTATTATTATTATTATTATTATTTTTTTTTTTTTTTTTTAGATCGTTAAGATTTTCTAACGATCTGTTTCTAATTGTTCTTTTTGTCTGCTTTTAGATACGAGAGATACTATCGGCGTTCCGATGGTTCTTACCGGCTTTATGGAAAGTTGTAAATGAATACTCCTGGTGCATCAAGATCCACCTTGCTAACCGATTCCGAGGCAACTTATGCGAAAATAGAGATTTTAAGGCGATGTGGTCGGTATATAGTTTAAAGTGGCACCGTGGAGGTATTGGCAATAATGAGATACAGCCCACACTACAGCTAAACATTCCTTTTCAGTTACGGAATAATTCTTTTCTGCAGGTGAGAGACTTCGGCTAGCGTATGATATTACTTGTTCACGACCTTCAGGATCTGATTGTGAAAGGATGGCTCCTAAAGCCAAATCGGACGCGTCAGTAAAAAGTAGGAAAGTCTTAGATTCGTCTGGATAAGCTAATATCGGGGCCGTGGTAAGTCTTCTCTTTAATTCTTCAAATGCTTCTTGTTAGTGGTTTGTCCACTTATAATAATTATTTTTCTTGAGCAACTTATTTAAGGACGTAGCTATCTTAGTGAACCCAGAGACGAACCTACGATAGTACGAGGCTAGTCCTAGAAACCCACGAAGTTGCCTTACGTTTCGTGGTGTTGGGAAATCTTTAACAGCTTCTATCTTCTTGGGGTCTGTAGCTATTCCTACTGCGTTTACTATATACCCCAAGAATTTTAATTCTTGTTTCACGAAGAAACAGAAGATGAAGAATCGGAAGAGGAAGACGAATTTGAGGAAGAAGAGTTGGAAGAACATATCTATGGACTTTCCGAATTAGAAAATACAGACGAAGCCCTTGAGGATGATGAGTACCATGGGAACCCTAACCCGGATAACCTAGGAGCCGGAGAGGCTTGGTGGGACTTAAATAATGACGATGATTATAGAGAGGAAGTGGACTATGGTTGGGTTAATGACGAAAGATGGATAGACGAAAGAAATATAGAAGAATTACTCACCCCAATTAATATCTGGCCCGAAGATTATAGATAGCAGATGAACCTAGATACCCCCTGGGATGAGGAAGACTATTTCGACGACGTTTTTAAATCGACTCCAGAAGTTCCAGCCATAGAGATCCATGAGGAAATTGTTGACCTCTTCGATTTCTACTTTGATGAAAAGACTGACTCCGTAGTAACGTATAATGTTGATGGCCTACAGGAAAAACAGAAAGATCAAATCATACCGATCCTTAAAGAGAATTCAGATCTCTTTGCAAAAGATATATCCGAACTCAGGCGAACCAATAAGTGTCACCACCATATTATTACCGGAGACGCCCTACCTATCAAACATAGGTCGTAGCGACAATCCCTTTTAGAAAAGAAGTTCCTCAGTGATGAAATAAAATTAATGGAAAAAG